GGGGGGGGGAGGGGTCGTACGGAAATGAACTCTGTGAACTTTGGGTATCTTTCAGTGCAACACAAAATATCTTTTTTTATATAATTAGACATACGAGTCAGATAAGAGGATACTAGTGAGATTTTACCTTTTCCAAACTTCTAATATTTCATTTGAAATATTTCAAAGTATCTTGCAAAAGGACTATTTACCCACGTCAAACTTAAATAAGTTACGCGCAGGATTAAAATATTAAAGAGGTTCACTACATATCACTATTGTTTCAGTAGAAGTAAATATTTCTATTTACTGTTATACCACCGATATAAGGATTTATCTCTAATTGGATAATGAGATAGATAGAAGGTTAGACGTTACCGCCATGAAGTTTCTATTGGTTCAGAATAGACACTAAACACATGGCTGAACCCTGATTGGATCAGATGCTAATGGACTCGGCATCCTAGGGTGATATATGCTTATACCGTGAGTAAAAGTTCCATGAGGTATTGTGCAGAATGCATTCTATCTTATATTTTACAGATATAATACACCTACAACTTCCTTCCTTTCATGGTAAATATATATACTTAATCAGTAATTAAATATATATACTTTTTCAGTATTTAGAAATATCAGTATTTGATTTTTTACTGTATCATTATTTAAATATATACTTAATCAGTTTTTAAATAAAAACTTTATCAGCATTGAAGTATATCCTTTTTTAGCAAATAAAAATAAAAACTTTATCAGTTTTTTAAAATAAATCGAAGTATTTATAAATATTTACTTTATCTTTGCTTAAAATATATACTTTATTAGTATTTTAATATATATCTTATCAGTATTTAAAAATATGTATTTTATCAGTATTAAAATATATATTTTATCAGTACTTAAAAATATATACTTCATCATAAATTCCATTTGAGTCTTATTTTGAATGTTTTTCCGCAAGACACTTTAGGAAAAAAAACTTGTCAAAATTGGAACACTTTTAAATTTCTGATCTTTAATTGTCTAATTAAACATTATCTCTGTTTTCTCTATCTTAAAATTCAATATTCCAAATGTGGTTCTCCAGAAAGTGTATTTCGCATTTATGCAACAGGAGCAAAAAGATGGAAATTGTTAGAATTAAACATTTTTTCAGATAACGACGATATCTGGCTTATTTTTGCTAAGATACAAGTTAAGGGTTGTAAATCCAACATGCTATTCTAAGACTGCAATAGGATCATTTGAAATTACGCTTAGTTTCCCTTTAAGTTAATTTTCTAATAATTTGAGTAAAAGTATGCTTTAACAGTTAACACCTGCTGGTTTCCTTAAACTTGAAGATCGAGGAGTCTCTCAAGTTAAACTTTCTAAATATTTAATCAGCGTTAAATATATATCTGCTTTTAATATACATATTTATGAGTCATTGATGGATCAAATTCAGTTCTTAGGTTATTATTTGATAACATTTACTGTAGATTTCCACTCTAAATTTTTGCTGATTTTTTTTGTTGTATCTCATTTAATTTTTAACAAATTTTGATGAAACTTTAAAATATCATATAAAACATTTTTCTGGAATTTTTTTGAAAAATCAAATTTAAAAAGAATTTGATTTTGCAGATTTATTTTTCAATGTTCTAAAAATATATCTTTTCACATTTCACTTTTTTTGTGCCTAACATCATAAGAAAACAAAAATTTTGAAAATTTTGTTGAGAACATTAATTCACCTGGTTTTATTACTCACCCTGTATAAACATAAATATATCACATAGTATATATTTATTGTTTACAAATATAAATGGATAAGAATGTATATTCTGAGACAGGTTGAGAATCTGTCAGCTTTAATATATTATATTTGACAAGGAGTAATGCAGGGGTGTTTTTCCTTTTCCAGAATACATCATTTTCCAGATTTTCATGTTTTTTTTTTGATTTTCAGAAATTGTTTTTAATACCTTTTATAACGCTGTTATTATTGTCATAAAGTTTTTGAACAAAAATTTTCTCTTTGTCGAGAACCTTCGAGATAAAGAGAAAATTTAAGTCCAAAAACTTTAAAGCACGTCGTGCCAAAATAAAAATGTCAAAGGCAATTTTATGAAACGTTTGTCATTTCTATAGATCAAATAAACTTTGAAACAAAGCAGAAGTCAAAATATAAAGTTAAGTTCAATTTTCATTTCAATTGAAAAAAGATATTTTGGACATATCCAAAATTGTTTTGAGAAAATCCGGAAACCAATTAAAACTTTATAGCACACGTGCTATAATGTACAGTTGATTTAACTTTATAGCACGATGGTTACTTTATAGCACGTTAATAATGAAATTCACGATGAAGTGAGTAAGAATGATAAAGCACACAATAGTTTCATAAATATTTTTTGTTGTTGGAAAATTCTTATTAATTTATGCATTTTTTATTGATTTGATGACAAACATTCAGTGGCCTTTACAATGGAGCTTTTAAGTCTCCATCTACTTTTTTTTTGATGATTTATCGTTTTCAAATTCAACCCATTTTCAAAGTGTTTTTAAAACGGGGTTTGAAACTAAATTTTGAAGAAGTCTCTAACAGATGATAAAGTTTAAAAACAAAATTGAACTGATCTGATATTTTTAAAATTAAATGGTCAAATTGAAGAATTCATTTTGAATCTAATCCTACTAAACACTCATAATGACCTATTTTTACTAAGCAATTCACAAAAGAAATTCATGATATGCCAGAAAAAAAAACAAAAAAAAGACCTGTTTAAAAACGTGCAAATATTACATTGTTGAAAACTTTCAGTCCTTTTTATTGTCTTAAAAAACAATTCTTTAAAGGCTGACTTCTTCAATTCCAATTCTATCAGTTTTGTGCAACAAATGTATTCCTATTCAGCCTTTAAAATAGAATGTATTGTTCGTATACAAGCAGAGTAATGTTTACATTCAAAGAATTGCTGTTGGTTTATGTGTATTTAACTTCTCTGGGAGGGGTAGACAGG